TCCTCCCAGGATGGGAGAAGCATGCTGAAAGTAGACTATAGACCAAACATGATTGTCACCCATTGCCTCTTTTGCAAACCACAACATCCTGTTTACATTTTTAAGAAAAAAAAATCAAATTTTTTCTCAAGGTGGCTGTACTCTGTTATGTCCTACCAGCAAGCAGAAGGTTCCTGCAGGGTTCAAGTAGTAGACATATCTTGTAGTTTTGTGTCATATAGCACTACAACCTGACATGTATGAATATTATAATTGCCACCAATGTCAGAAAGCATGGACCCCCATCTGTTTCACCCCCACCCAGCTCCCTAATATCCACCAAGCCTCTGCATCTAAGAGTTTGTTTTTGTTTTATGTATTTATTGCTTTGGGGGTTTTGGGCCATACCTTGAAGTGCTTAAGGTTTAGTCCTGGTTCTGTGCTCAGGGATCACAACTGGCAATACTTGGGGACCATATTTAGTGCTGAAGATGGAACTAAGGCTGGCCACATGCAAAGCAAGAGACTTTCCCCACTGTTCTAGCACTCTGGCTCTTGCTGTGTTTCTTTATAGTCTGTGGCTGAGTGAAATTGTACAATATCTGTCCTCTCTACCTGACTTATTTTCCTTAGCATAAAATTCACCATGTGTATTGCTACACACGGGCCTGTATTACATTATAGCCATTCTCATGGAGGTGCACTGGTTTCACATTTTCCTACCTGTTTTCCGTCAGTAATATTGGGCATTTTGTTCATGTGCTTATCGGCTATTTTATTAGCCTTTGGTGAAATGTCATTTTAAATGTTATCCATTTTAAAAAACTGGGTTGCTTCTTTTCTTATTATTGGGCTTTTAGATAAAAAAAAGCACTTTTTCTTCCAAATTAGACATATTCTGTTAGACAATATCCAAGTGGGTTAAATAAAATTGAAAGTGGAAGGTTGAATTTTTTTTTAATCAAAGCTTTTCTCTGAAAGCAGTTTGAATTAATACAAAGGCAATAATTCTGAGGCAGCTTGAATTAAAACAAAGCCAAGCTACAAACGGAAATAATTCAAACCAGGCAGACATTAAAATAAGGTTTTGATTTATTTTTAATACCTAGATTAGCAATCATGATGTAATTTGGAGCATAAACTTTCTTTTTGTGCTCGATATCCTAAAATTCAATCAAGGTATACATGCTGATTATTAACATACTATAAAATACTTAACATACTACAAAAATGTGAATGAAAGATGCTTTTTTGCATTAAAAATAAAGTTTAGAGGCTGGAGTTATATTATAGCAGCCAACCCAGGTTTGCTCCCTGTCACACCATGTGTTCCTCAGACCCCCACCAGGAGTGATCCCTGAGCCAAGAGCCAAGAGGAAGCCCTGAGCAGCACAAGGTGTGGACCCCAAACAAAACAAAACAAAACAAAACAAAATTTAAAGTTTGAAAGTTTATATAAGATAGCAGAGGGACAGTTAGCATGAGTATTGAAAAAGATAATCTTGGGGGTTGGAGCGATAGTATAGAGGGTTGGGTGTTTGCCTTGCAAACGATACCCAGCATCCCATATGGTCCCCCAAGCACCGCCAGGACTAATTCCTGAGTACAAAGCCAGGAGTCACCCCTGTGCATTTCTGGGTGTGAGCCCCCAAAAAGTAAAAGATAACTGTCGGGTCAGAGGTGAGACTCAAGGGGCAGAGCGCCTGGCATGTGGGTCCTTGGGCAGAGTTCCCCTGGGTGTGGTCCCCACAGCAACAACAAAAGCCTACAAAGCATATTATAACCTTGGTGAATCAAGTAATGTATCATAAACATAAATGTGACAAAAGAACATGGATTCTCATGCTGCCTGATTGCTCCGGTCCCTCATATGGTAATTCTAACTTTGGTCCAGAGACAATTAAGAGCAGATAAAAGAGGTGGGGAGACAGTCCAAGTACAGCTCTGTGGAAGGCCCTGAGTTTTATTCCAACACCAAATGATTTCCAAGCACTGCCAGGCGTAGCCCTGGTGGCCCCTGAGCTGCACAACCCACAGGATGGTCATTAGGCAGTCAGAAATACAGATAATCTTCACAGAAATCTGGCATCTTTGTTGGCAGTACAAATCAATTCTTGTATATCTGCATCCTTCTTGGCTCCCTTTACCATTCTACATAATGTTTACTCAGCCATGGCATTTATTCACAGACCAAGTTGGTTTATTTCTCTGTGTTCACTGTATTTATCAATACTGAAACTATTCTACTGTTGTTAATCTTCCTGCTTTCTAAAAGACAAGCTCATTGATAGTTCAGGGGGAAGGTGCTTGTAGCTTGCGTACCTGGGTTTGATCCCCAGCAGCCCATCTAGTTCTCGAAGCACCACTAGCTGTGGCCCAACACACACACACACACACACACACACACACACCCCACCACCACCACCACCACAACAACAACAAAAACAACAACAACAACAACAAAAGATAAGTTCATTGAAAAAAGAGATTTTGTTCCCTGTTGTCTTCCCAGACCTGCACAATGCTTGCCCACTGAGGATAGCCACTACATAAACATTTCTTGACTAGATACAGTTTTAAAAGAAATTCTTCATCTTGGGACAATAAGAACCTGTTAGAACAGTGAACCAATCTATTTTCAATTTTGGATGGCTGCGCAGAATATTCATTTGATAAGCGAAGCTAGAAGGAGAAGCCCACAGGACCCACTTATAAAAGAAATCTAAAGGTGTTAGACTCACCTACAATTTAAATGTGAACCATCTTAAAAATCCATACAGGTCACACCCGACCAGAAAGGATTAGAAACACAAGCACTGGGACCTAAAATGGGAAGGGAAATGTGCTTCGGGAAGAAAAATATTGGGAGCAAAATGAAGAGAGGAAAAAAGTCAGGTTCACGGTCTAAGTAAGCTCGTTGGGAGTAAAGAGAGCATAGAGGGCTGGAGAAAATGTTCGCAGGAGCCCCAACTTTGCTCCCAGCAAGAAACAGTCCCCTAAACACTTTCGGGAGCAACCCCTGAGCTCCGAGCTAGGAGAAGAAGCCGCTGAGCACTGTTGAGTGAGGTCTGCAAACAAAAAATTCCCTCCACACCCAAATCCAATAGGAGAGAGTCCCTTAAGACAGAGACAGACAATTCCTTCGATACTCAACACTCTTTTCTGCACTCAGTGTAAATCGGTCTCCTTTTCGAGTCTCCCTAAAATCCCGGAATTTGTGTCTTACACATATATGAACACATCTGCATGTGATTTGGGGGATACAGCTGCTACTGCACACACTTGTGCTCCAGAGATATAGAGTGACACAGAGATACAGCTCTGTGCTCAGGGGATCATATGTGGTGCCAGACATGAGTCGGGGTGGGGGTACTCACATGCCAGGCAAGTGTCTTAATCTCTGTTTTATCTTTCCAGCCCCTACAATACCAACTTCTGCAGAGTGATAGTTTTTAAGAAATAAGAGTAAGCCAGTCTCTAAAGTCAAGTGCCTGGGTTTAAGCTCCATTTTCACTATTTGTTAGCAGTGAACTTTAGACACACTCTTTCATTCCTCCGTGCAAGTTTCTGTCTATGTGTAATTTAAAATGCCACACAATTTGGTTGACTGCATTAGTAATAACACAGGAAGCGCCTGACGTCTGTTGACCCAGAACGGTTACTCTCATAATAGGCCTTTTCTACGCTGTTCCTTAGGAACCTTCCTCATGCACTGCCACAGCAATCCTGTGAAGCAGGTTATTACCAGAAATGTCCTGTCCCCATAGAGATAAGTAAGTGTGTACCAAGAAGAGGTTATACAACTTGTCCCTGACCTCATGACTAAGAAGTAGAATAGGATGAGAACAATCTTAGCCACGTGTATAGTCCAGCATTCCCAACAATCAAGCAAATATGGGAATGTAGACCCCAGAAATCATGGTCAACACCATGGATTGGTGATAGTCCAGTAAGTTAAGGCATTTGCCTTGCACACAGATGACCGGGTTCAATCACTGGCGTCCAATACAGTTCCCAAAGCACTGCCAGGGGTCATTCATTCCTGAGTACAGAGCCAGAGCCAGGAATAAGTAACACCTGAGCATCACCAGGTGTGCCCCCACTGCCAAAAAAAAAAACAAAAAACAAAAACAAAAACCTTAGCTTTCAACCCATATAAAAATATGGCTTTTAGTATATTTCTAAACTCTGCAACCATCACAATCCAGTTTTAGAACATTTTCCTCCCTCCAAAAGGAATTACCCTTGAAACAGTAATCAGATCTAACTATAGATACTTTACATGCACAGAAGAAATGCAAAATCTTTCAAAGAATGTGTACAATATGTTCAATATATGTATGAAAGTGCCTTTAATACAGCTGATGCAAAAGAAAACCATGGAAGAAAGTCTAGCGGAACTGTGACTTGGGAGGACTTGTCAAATTTTGCATTAGCAACATCACCACCCAACTGAGCAAGGCAAGTACTGACAGTGGTCAACTACAATCAGCTCAGATTTAAGGGCCCAACTCCACTTTCAATGACTTTTTAGCATTTCTGCATTCAAACCCGAAGAGTCAGACTAGGAGAAAGTAGAGATAAATCATTCCCAAATGGGGTCAGAGTGCTAGTACATTGGGCAGGGCATTTTTCTTGCATGTGGCCAACCTAGGTTCAATCCCCCGCATCCCATATGGTCCCCCAAGCACAACCAGGAGTAATTCCTGAGTGCAGAGTGAGGAGTAACCCCTGAGCATCACCAGGTGTGACCCAAGAAGCGAAAAAAAAAATTTAAAAGTTAAAAAATTGTGCCCAACCCACTGACCTCTTGAGAGTCCCACGAATATTTTTCTCATGTGAAAGAAAAAAGCTCTGGCAAAGAAGATCACCACAATTCAGAAGATGTTAGTTTCTTTTTTAACAGGAAATGGTCTCACACTCTAAGAACCCACAATTCCAGCTCTGACTAGTTACCGCAATCATGGAAGTATCGTTGACCAAACTCTGCATTCACCCCCCACTGAAGAAAAGGAACTCACTGTTAGTAAATGCATATTCTTCTTCATTGTCCTCACTGTCATCGGACAGAGCTCTGTACGGTGGCGGTAGTTTCATTGGTGGTGGTGCACCTCCCCGTCTCTGAAGTTGCAAAATTTGAGAGAGGAGTTAGTATGTTTGCAGGATCTGCCCCTTGCTCAAAGACAATCAGGACAAAAAGGTAATCTGGAAATATCTGGAGCTCACCCAACTTGAAGCGGACCACAAGAATGCTACACAACAAATAGACTTGATTTTCTAGGTGCTGACTGCTACGTGAAAGTGACTGTGAAGCTAAGATGATGGTATGCAAAACAGGAGTTTATTCAAAAACTTCACCTTAGACTACTGATCTATTTTGAAGAAAGCACTTCTTGCCCAGGGTGAGAGAATATCTTCTTGATGCTGTAAAGCTTAATTTTCTATTACGAGTCAACTAATTCAAATGAAAGAAGTTTCCAAAATGAATCGAAGGGAAGAAAGTCACCCAAAGCATTGTATAATCATTTACATTTTTCTTTTCGTATAGAACATGCATAGTGTCTATTTCTAAAAAAAAAATACTTGACAATTTCTAAAAAAAAAATGCTTGACATGTTAAGGACATTCTACCTAAATGATTCACATGGGGGGAAGAGAGAGAGAGAGAGAGAGAGAGAGAGAAGAAAAGTGTTGGCCATAGAGGGAGAGAGGGGGGACAGGAGGGAAACTGGGGACATTGGTGGTGGGAAATGGACATTAGTGAAAGGATGGGTGTTGGAACATTTTATAACTGCACCCAACCCTGAACAATTTTGTAACTGTGTAGTCCATGGTGATTCAATAAAAAGGGAACAATTTTTAAAAATTAAAAGAAAAAGCTAACAAAGTCTCACATCTATTCTTTGCAGGCAATTAACACACATTTTAATGTTTCCAAAAGAGACATATTTATAACCAGTTTTTAAAAATTTCTCTGAATATTCTTTACAGTTAGACACCAAACAATACAGTACATCAATAAGAACCAACTAGAGGAGAATAAACCTCAATCATTGGGTGGCCAGTCCAGAATGTAGACATTTTCTTGAATGTTGTCTGAAAAAAAAAATCAAATGTCGCCCCCTTTAAGGAGAAATCCAAGCTGCTAAAAAGAATCCAGAGCTGATCAACCTAAGTGCTCCTAAAATACCCAACTAATTGAATTAAGGGTTGGGTTCTTTTTTTTTTTATTAGCGAAACACCATGAGGTACAGTTGTAGACTTACAAATTTTTGTGCTTGGGTTTCAGTTATGAAATGATCAAGTACCCATCCCTCCACCAGTGCCCATTCTCCACAACCAATGATCCCAGTATCCCTCCCACCCCCATCCCCCCATCCCCCCCACCTTTGTGGCAGGGCATTCCCTTTTGTTCTCTCTCTCCTTTTGGGTGCTGTGGTTTGCAAAAGTGGCACTGAGTGGCAATCATGTTTGGTCTATAGTCTACTTTCAGCATGCTTCTCCCATCCTGGGAGGATCCTCCCAAAACCCTTTATTTGGTGCTCCCTTCTCTATCTGAACTGCCTTTTCCCCTAGCATGTGAGGCTGGCCTCTAAGCCATGGAGTGAACCTCCTGGTACTTATCTCGGCTATTCTTGGGTGTTAGTCTGCTATTTTGTTACTTTATATTCCCCAAATGAATGCAGTCTTTCTATGTCTGTCCCTCTCTTTCTGACTCACTTCACTTAGCATGATACTTTCCATGTAGTACCACTTGTATATAAATTTCATGACTTCATCTTTTCTAACAGCTGCATAGTACTCCATTGTGTAGATGTACCAAAGTTTCTTTAACCAGTCATCTGTTATCGGGCACTTGGGTTTTTTCCAGATTTTGGCTATTGTGAACAGTGCAGCAATGAACATAGAAGTGCAGATGTCATTTCGACTGTACTTTTTTGCCTTTCCAGGATATATTCCCAGGAGTGGTATTGCTGGGTCAAATGGGGGCACAATTTCTAATTTTTTGAGAATTGTCCATCTGTTTTCCAGAAGGGCTGAACCAGTCGACATTCCCACCAACAGTGAAGGAGTGTCCCTTTCTCGCCACATCCGCGCCAGCATTGGTTGCTTTTGTTCTTTTGAATGTGGGCCAGTCTCTGAGGTGTGAGATGGTATCTCATTGTGGTTTTGATCTGCATCTCCCTGATGATTAATGATGTAGAGCATTTTCTCATGTGCCTTTTTGCCATTCGGATTTCTTCTTTGAGAAAATCTCTGTTCATTTCGTTGCCCCACTTTTTGATGGGGTTGGATGTTTTCTTCTTGTGGAGTTCAACCAGTACTTTGTATATCCTTGATATCAACCCCTTGTCGAATGTGTATTGGGCGAATATCCTTTCCCATTCTGTAGACTGTCTTTGTATTTTGGTCACTGTTTCTTCTGAGGTGCAGAAGCATCTTAGTTTAAGACAGTCCCATTTGTCTATCTCTGTTTTCACTTGCTTGGCCAGTGGCATGTCATCTTTAAGGGTCTTTTTTAAAATTTTTTATGAGGATTTCAATAAAGTTCATTCAATTATGCTTTCCAAGACAAAACCACAATAGGCAGGATAGACTTGGATGAATGAATGGGCTCGTACATTACAGCAGTCAGACAGACAATAAATTCCTCCCGAACAAAAAACATTATTTAGATTTCATCAAGGAAAACTTACTCCTAAATCTATTTAGGATAATGAATATCCCACCCAAAGCAGAACTTCATCGATTGTAGAAAATCCAAAAGCATTTAAAATGCCAGAGCGATGATGACAGATAAGATGCCAGACACAAAGTGCTTCTCCGACAACAAGAGAAGACAGAGATGTGATCAACAATCTCCTTAAGCGTCAAAAGACTTTGCAGAGAACTGAATGGAGAGTAGGAGAGGCAAATTAATTCCTTTCAGTAAACCGTTTCCGATTAGATCATTTTTGGTCAAAGATAGTACAGCTATTTTTGAGATAGAGAGAGGCAGCTTTTTTTTTAAAAAATTTTTTTAGTGAAACACCATGAGGTACAGTTGTAGACTTACAAATTTTTGTGCTTGGGTTTCGATTATACAATGATCAAATACCCATCCCTCCACCAGTGCCCATTTTCCATCACCACGGGTCCCAGTATCCGTCCCACCCCCCATCCCCCGCTTCCCACCCTGCCTCTGTGGCAGCGCATTCCCTTTTGTTCTCTCTCTCCTTGAGAGACAGCTTTTTAAAGTAATATTCAGAAATGTGAATAATGCTACTTAGTAGCATTTCCCTTTTAGAGAGGTGAGCATCATTGATGCTACTGATATTCAAGTTCTATCAACACTGTCAAGAAGAATAAAATAAGCATGTCTGGGTATCTCTCATTTGCATATGTGCTGCCCAACACCTGGGGCAACCTTCCTCCTGCATGGGAGTGGAGGAAAGGGCAGGGTCAGCCTCTCCCTGTGGAGCACTGCAGCAGCGGGCACTAGAGCAGATAAGACCCAACCTTGCAAAGCGGTCCTGAAGTGAGGCCCCGTGGAAGGGAGGATCTGGGCAAAGTTGGCAAGAACAGGGTGTCAGCACGAGGTGTTCAGCCTTGAAGCCTCACTCAACCTCCCAGTCACATGCGCCAAAGACATAGAAACTGTCGTGTACGCTTAGCAGGTCGTCCTAACCACAGCGCCTAGCTTTGAATGGGATTGGACCAGAACAAAGCAGAGAAGAAAAGGTGATAGGCCAATAATGCTAAACTGTTGTGATTGGACCTTCCTGTAAGCCAAGACCTTACTATAAAACATGCGTGTATTCAGCAATAAAGTGAACCGCCATCAGCTGCTCCCAGAGGATGTTTCTCCACGCACCTATCATCCTTCGGCTCATGTCTGTCCAGACCCAATGCTCAATGTGTCCATTTGGGGGAAAAACTGTTCCCCAACATCTTCCTCCAGCAACACAGGCTGGGTAGGCACATCTGGGCCAGGTGCCCACCTCCAGAGGGAAGCGAACAGCACAAGGAAATGTGAAACCCTCCTCTCTGGGCACAATGCCTAGCACAAAGACTCCTGAATTTTTGTTGAACGAGTCAAAAACTGGTTCTCATGTAGACTCCGTAGACTTTCTGATGAAAACTTGGATAAAAATGACAATGACAGAGGCCTGGAGGAGGAGCATAGTGGTTTGCAAGCACAAGGTTATGAGTTCAAATCCCCAGTCTCCCACATGCGGAAGTGTGGTCCTGGCTGCTCTACTGTCTGCAATATCTGGCGGCATGGGCAATTTCTGACTACATTGCAACCAAGTCTGTGTAATCACCACATAAGTGTGTGTGGGCTCCAAGGAAACAAAGGAACTGAAAAAAAAGTGAATGCTAGTGTGTGAGGTGAGCAGGAGAGATGGAATGATTGGGTGGGGGTGGGAGTGAAGAAATGTGAGTATCATTGCCAGAAAGTGCAACACCCAGTGAGTGTGAGTATTGCCAGCACCTGGGCGAGCACTACAGCCAGAGCATGCACCCCCCCCCCACCAAGAATATGAGTCAGCCCCTCAGCTAAAAATGTGTGCTTGTGGCCAGTGGGGAGTGTCAGATCCAGCCCATCTCAGTACCGTCAGCCACAGCACCGTGAAGAGAAGGGGTCTAGGGGACGGAATCCAAACAAGAAGGAAAACAGCTAAGCAAATGATTATGTCTGATTGCACCACATACTAACTTTCCCTGGTGCAGAAACAATTTTTGAAAACCCCTACAAATAGGATAACGCTGAAGGTTACAATTTTATTGCCTATTTTTAAAAACTCAGCCAGTTTAAAATTAAAGTTTGAGGACTACTTTCTTTCAGCAGTTGTAAATGCTTACATCTCCAATTTTTTTTTTTCTGATCTAAGCTTATCATCTTGCTGGTTCCCTCACCAATGAGTTAAATAAATGTTGGCACCTGCATATTTCGTATGACTTTTTGTCGGTTGTATGGCTTCGGGTTTTTAGTTTGGGGGCCACACCCAGCAGTGCTCAGAGCTTACTTCTGGCTCTGCATTCAGGGTTCACTACTGGTCATGTGCAGGGCATCATATGGCATCATATGTGGTGCCGTGGGTCAAACCCATGTTGTCCATGTTAAAGACAACACCCTA